TCCAGACAAATGGAAAAATTTTAAGTTGCCACTTACAATGATTAGTAGATTTTTAATGTTTTTTATTCTCTGCTAAAATTTAGACATTAAATTTATCTTGCTTGTATGTAAACATGCAGTATTAACTAGCTTTTTTTCTAAGTGTTATATTTTGGGCCACCTCAAAATAGGTGATTTTACCAACCAACCTAAAAATTACCTGTTTTATCATTTTCTTCAAAACCTATGATGAGAATAGTCCTGGAGATTGTTCTCTTCCAGGAAGACTAGGCTTGACTCTCAGTGACTTAATGTAGCGCCCGGTGGAGTTGGCTGATACGATCCTCAGATAGAAGTCTTCTCCTCCTTGGTTGTCTGAATTCCTCTGCCAGTGGTAACCAGTCTGTGTCTTATTACAGCCAAAGAAAGATCTCCACTTCCTGATGGAATGTAATCATGAATATAAAGGTTTCCTTGGCTGCTTCCCTGACATTATTGGCGCTCACAAGGTAACTTGATCGTAACTTGATCGTGGAAGTTCACAGAAGACATCAGGGTGAATCGGTACCCAGGTGCACGAGCCTCACGTTTCAGTGCACCCCTCCCCACCCCCATCAGGAGCCACTTTCTGGGATCAGCTGGAACTGCTTGGGGTGTTTCAGTAGTGAGGTCCCATCGCGCCATGTTGAGATATATGGGTAGTTTTTTAGTTTCTTTTATTCTATAGAAAGATTATTTTGAGAGAACTGAAAGTATGAAAATTATTCCTTCATGGGTATCCTCAGGTCAGGCATCAGACGTGGTAATAACGGCGTTTGGTATCGAGACAGCGTCAGCGAGACCCTGTGCCCTGCTTGGGCGGGTCCTCAGAGAAATAAGATGTTCTGTCCCTGAGCCTGACGGGGGGGGGGGGTTTCCGAATTAAAGTTAAAATGGTCAATATCGGTTTTATGTGTTTATGTTAATAAAAAGAAAACCATATAATTCCCATCATAAAGGGTTTTTTTAAACTAAATAAAAGATTAGTTTGGGGTGTCCTCACATTTTGATTCAGGTTAATTTTTCTCTCTCTTTCAAAATCTGTGTGTTACCTCAGAACCGTGGGTATTTTTATCAACTGCAGTACTGTGGGATATGGTGATGTACTTGGATTTATTAAGAGAATCTCTACAGAGAGCTGATCTGTGCTCCTAACAGTCCCGGCGGGTGGGCATTTTAGCATTTGGCTTTATAACTGGAGTATCACAAACGGGTAGCACAGGTAACCAAGCTTTGTGCAGCTTCAGATAACTTAGTGTGGAACTCAGCACATCATCTTTACCCACTCATTTGTTCATGGACACTTGGGTTGTTTCTAGGTCTTGGCTGTTGTGAATAGTGCCGCAGTGACCGTGGGAGTGCAGGTGGCGCTTTGAGACAGTGATTTTGTCTTCTTTGGGTGTGTACCCAGCAGTGGAATTGCTGGGAGAGTAGATCTTACAAATTCTCATCACAAGAAAAAAAAAAGTTTGTTACTCTATGAGGTGATGGATGTTAAAAAACTTAACCATAGTAATCATTTTGTAATATGTGCACATGTCAAATTCATTCTGTTGTATACCTTGAACTAATATAATGTTTTTGTCAGTTATATCTCAGGAAAACTGGGGGAGAAAATAAA